CAGTGTATTTTGTATAGTTCCAGCACAGTCTAGTAGAGTAAGAGTACTGTGAACAGAAGAGGTTGACTGAACAATAACACAGACTAAAGTAAAAAGAGACTTGAAGCTAGTGTATACCAAATCGGTTTGACTAGTTGGCAACTAAGACGGCTTTCGGCCTTACACTCAGGTGCGGATTGGAACAGCAGGCTCTCTCACAAAAGGAAGAAATCTGAAGTCATTAGAAGGGTTAACATTAGGGTAGCATTCTGGAAGGAAGAATTTTTACCTTCACTACTGATACTATTGAAGGATAGACTGCCGGGTGATAGGACTAGTAACTGTATATACAAAATAAAGTGTAGCAACTGCACAAAGGCTTTCATGAGTCAAATAGCCAGGAGGTTGCACACAAAAGTCGGTGGGCATAAGTGGTGCATAAACAAACCACTAGGAAACATAGGTAAATATAAGGCGGCAGCTGAAGTCCCGGCAATGGCGGGTCCTGCATCAACGTTGAGCAGAATAGATTGGGAAAGTGTGAGTGTTTTGAGACAAGGACTAAGATTCACATCACAGCGACAGGTATAGAACGGTCAAGCATGGAAAGAGTGTTCTTAGATCAGTCGAGATAACAAGAGCAGATTTGCGGTTTGGGATCCAAAGTACAAAAGCCCAAGCGGAGTAAAATCTACCTAATCCCCTCAGCCCTGGTCCACTTGTCCTAGGACTCTCAAAACACCGACCAAAATAGTCTGTGAACAACTCCCTAGAGAAATATTCCAACAAGGTTCTCTTGACCGTAAAGTAAGGCCCCAAATTCTGATTCAAGTCGGTGACCACCTCCCAACCAATCTATCTTAGCTGATAGTCACCCACACTAGCCAACAAACAAGAACTTTGGACTGCCGTTCAGCAGTGGACAAGTCGGCTAGTCGTAAGAAGTCCTAGTGATCATTCCTCTGACTGTTTTGAAGCTTTGTCAACCCTATAACCGATCCACTTGTTTTGTTGAAGCTTTGGTATCAAAAGCGAAACGTTGCCCAACAATTAATTCACTGGTTGTTTACTATATCTCTGAAACAATAATTTTTCACTCGGTTTCTTACATCTTCCCATTGATTGCTTCACTATCGCTCTTTTACTGTGTAGCATGATCGTTTTACTACGGTACTGGCTTATAACATCGGAATGTTGAATCACCACTGCACGTGTCAGAATGATTCAAAGCATCCGGAGAACCCACGACGCCTGACTTCAATCTGGAAGCATTTGCAAGTGAGCATTTGGGAATAGAGTGAGCAGTTTACCTTGAGACATTCGAACGTGCCTAATTTGTGCTTATATTCCCACTTTAATGCAAGTCATACGAACTGTTGACTGAATTAACTTGCTAGCACCTTGTTCCCACGACAGTGACTCAAGCATGCTGTTGACGCACACCATTAAGTTGATACTTGTTAACCACTACTGGTTTTGGCGCATTCATAGGCAGTAGACTTTAAGACCGAATACTTCTCTTTTTACCCACCAGCAGGAAAGGTTTAGCGTGGGAATCATTCATGAAATCAGAAGATTTTGAGCATAAATTTGTTTACACTAACAACAAACCAGCAGCTTTTGATAGGAAAACGTGAACTCCTAAGTCTTAGGGCGTCAACACTAACCTTTTGGGTACATATTAATTCAAGAATAATATGATAAAGAATGTAAAATGCTGTCACCGCGCATCAAAGCTCTTCACGCCCGCATAATGAATTGTACTTTGCGAGGCTACATTTCAGCAAGGGACCAAATTTCTGGAGCATGCTCCTCTCCACGATTTCTCGTGTAGCCAGATAAACTTCTCAGTTTCGTTTTCTCAGCCACATCTGTGTATACTTACCTTTACACGATGTTGTTTTGCACCGACTATCCTAATCGCTGCGGCTTGTGTCAGTTTCTGTCGACCAAAGTGAGACAGGCTGTTTTATCTTCCGAGCCAAGCTGTTAAGCCGCCATTTATTCACTCTTCTCTGGTGACAAGTATTTTCCTCACTCCTGCCTAGCTCTGATAGACATTTGGCTTAGTGATCAGGGGTAGGTAGATATTGGGCATTTTGTCAATCACTTGTCTTGTGCAGCCGCACTCCTTCTCTGTCGTGACCTCGAGAAAGCCAGCTGTAGCCAATCGTCTTATGGGGTCGATCTTGCCATCTGCATTCTACACAAACGTTGTTGCTAAACTGACAGGTGTAACTGTGTTTTCCGGGATCATTCTTGACCGCGTAGAAGATCTAGTCAAATGTTTAGTGAAGAGGTGGTCAGTCTGAAATTTATTTGAAGCAAACTAGTAGGATGGTTAAATGGTGCTCTGGTTTTTAAACACCAATCAAAAATTAAGTTTGCAGGCTGGTTTGTAACAAAGATGAAGTTTCCACTCATACCCTGTTAAATTCCGTTTCCATGTTGATTATAATACATGGCGTACTGTTACGACCGCTGGTCTCATTGAGGTGTGAATTTTTATCCCGAAAATCTTGCATTCCACTGACTTCCACATGCTGTTTAGGTTCCATAAATAGCTGCTCGTTGGTGCAGTCTTGTGTGCGATAAATTTAGTTGTCATTTTCGTCCCTGTCTTTTAGTATGAGTGTTCTACAGCGGTTTGCATGCCGCGGTCCGCTTCTCTCTTCTGTGCGTGTGTTCCAGTCTCATAGCAACACCAGCCACAGTTGGGCACTAGTTGACGCTGCCTCGTCTGTCCGTTTAACGTTTTTCACAGCCATTGCCTGTGTGTCCACCAATCCCGATCCGATTGCATTATGCCCGGAAGTTAAAAATAGTTTCATCACCAGACCGACAGTCGTGAAACAACATCATGCGTGTTTGTGAATGCCTGTTCCTGGCCACGCGGACCTACGCGACCCCGGTGGAATACTCTATTTTTAGTTGAGCTGGTAGATAACCCCATCCAATTGGAGGAAGGGATTTGCATTGTCAAGTATTTCCCGTCCATCCATTCATTCAACCCAAACAGTCTAGCTAAGGACAGCTGTCGATTTTCTCGTGGCTAAAAATAGGCACTGCGTTCTTTCCCTCACTGGTGTCGGCACACCCGAACATATGGCTGATGTGCCACCACACAACAACGCACATACATGTCTATACGATTAAGTAGGTCCCGAGACCAACCACAAGTATTCGGGTATGGAATGTTCAGAGCCTTGCAAGAGTAGCGCGAATTTCAGACGGTTGTCTCCGCTATTTTCCCACTCACTATAATTGTGAGAAGTATCAACCCTCAGTTTCTCCTTAGAATTTCACTCTTACTTTGTTGTGAGTACAAAAATGGACCGTTTGTCGTCTAAATCTTTATACGGTTGCCAATTTTTTCCTAGACCCATTTCAGCCTTACATTGCTTCCGATTGGTGAAAACCGATTATGTATAAGATAAAGTATAGTTTAATAAGACAGGTAGAATATGTATTCACTGTAGTTTGCATTCGGCTAGAGTAGTCATTAAATGCCGTTGGAAATCAAACAGGCGTATGATTATGGCTAAAACACGACACGAGAACGTTCGTTCAATTCGTTTTACGTAATCTTACTAATGATCTGCATTTAACTGCTAGCACTCAGCTACTAGCTAAGAGGTTTGTATCATTCGGGTTTGACCTCCTCATAAGGAAGCGGAAGCTGCTTCACGGTAATTAGCTTTTAAGCATAGGTTGGCCTTGTCCAACCTTAATTCGCATAGTATAAAATCGTGATACTGGACAGGAGACTGCTGCAGAATATTTTGTGTAGTCCAAGCCTGAATGTCAAAGGCGTACTGATGAAGCAATTACATTGGGAGTAGCGAGTGGAGTTCTATTATAAGTTTCGTAAGGCCGCATTACCGAAGGAAGGAATGTCTCTGTTAGTTCTGCCAGGAATGCTTCAATGCCTGCCCTGGTGGGAAATATAAAATTTTCCGGTAGTTCTGCTGCGTAGATATGGAAGCCTCTCAGCTTCTCCCTGAAGACGCTTGATTGCTTGGAAAGTACAATGGCTGATGTGCCACCACACAACAACGCACATACATGTCTATACGATTAAGTAGGTCCCGAGACCAACCACAAGTATTCGGGTATGGAATGTTCAGAGCCTTGCAAGAGTAGCGCGAATTTCAGACGGTTGTCTCCGCTATTTTCCCACTCACTATAATTGTGAGAAGTATCAACCCTCAGTTTCTCCTTAGAATTTCACTCTTACTTTGTTGTGAGTACAAAAATGGACCGTTTGTCGTCTAAATCTTTATACGGTTGCCAATTTTTTCCTAGACCCATTTCAGCCTTACATTGCTTCCGATTGGTGAAAACCGATTATGTATAAGATAAAGTATAGTTTAATAAGACAGGTAGAATATGTATTCACTGTAGTTTGCATTCGGCTAGAGTAGTCATTAAATGCCGTTGGAAATCAGACAGGCGTATGATTATGGCTAAAACACGACACGAGAACGTTCGTTCAATTCGTTTTACGTAATCTTACTAATGATCTGCATTTAACTGCTAGCACTCAGCTACTAGCTAAGAGGTTTGTATCATTCGGGTTTGACCTCCTCATAAGGAAGCGGAAGCTGCTTCACGGTAATTAGCTTTTAAGCATAGGTTGGCCTTGTCCAACCTTAATTCGCATAGTATAAAATCGTGATACTGGACAGGAGACTGTTGCAGAATATTTTGTGTAGTCCAAGCCTGAATGTCAAAGGCGTACTGATGAAGCAATTACATTGGGAGTAGCGAGTGGAGTTCTATTATAAGTTTCGTAAGGCCGCATTACCGAAGGAAGGAATGTCTCTGTTAGTTCTGCCAGGAATGCTTCAATGCCTGCCCTGGTGGGAAATATAAAATTTTCCGGTAGTTCTGCTGCGTAGATATGGAAGCCTCTCAGCTTCTCCCTGAAGACGCTTCATTGCTTTGGAAAGTACATACAACCACAAAATAAGGTTTTCTTTCGTTATCAGAGGTTTTTTTACACTTTTCATTCCTCACAGGCCAGCGGATTGGCTTCAAAGTGCCACCACCAACCTGGACGTCGTGCAACTCTAAGAGAATTGCAGTGGGCACATCACGACATTTACACCATTCTTTTTGGCAGTGATCCTGCTAATCGATGTCGTATTGCGCCGTCATTACTGGCCACCGTACGTTTGTGTCGCCTGGACTGTGGAGGGGTCGGCGTAGATTCGGATACGACATGGAACACGGCCGGACAGACAGCCCACGCAGCTAGGCTTGCCGCCGGATGTGTAATTGATTTGGCTTGTCGCGTTCTGGCTGGCCAGTGTCCAAATGGTTTTGCATTGGTTCGACCACCTGGACATCACGCTGAACCGGGTCAAGCAATGGGTTTTTGTTATTTCAATTCAGTAGCAATTGCTGCCCGACAGGCTCAATACTTCCATCCTTCACCAATTTCTGCAGACGTTGAGGCACTCAAACGCTTCGGAATCCACTCGGATATACCTATCCAACCAAGCACAACTTCATTACAAGCTAGGCGAGTTCTCATTGTTGACTGGGATATACATCATGGAAATGGTACCCAAACAGTGTTCTATTCCGATCCGTCCGTTCTCTACATTTCACTTCACCGATACGACGGCGGTGGCTTTTTTCCCGGTACAGGTGCTCCTGAGGAGATAGGCAGTGGTCCAGGAATAGGCTATACTATCAATATTGCCTGGCCAACTGGAGTGGTGATGGCTGATGCAGAGTACCTGGCCGCATTTAGACTTATTGTTCTCCCAGTAGCCTTAGAATTTCAACCGGATTTAGTCATTGTTTCAGCCGGTTTTGATGCAGCACCTGGACATCCAGCTAGCCTTGGTGGATATAACGTAAGCCCTGCAGCATTTGGCTGGATGACAAGGCTGTTGTGCAACCAGAAGATAGCCAGAGCACGCATTGTGTTGGCTCTGGAAGGAGGTTATGAGTTAAATAGTCTATGTGAATGTACCGAGGCATGTGTTCGGTCACTCTTAATGTCGACCTACGAACAGCGAACCAGCTCAGAGGACTGTGACTTCAAACCGGAATTATTCGCACTTCCTGAATCTGAGCTAAAACGCATTCCTCACCCCGATGCCATAGACTGCCTCATACACTTAGCACATCTGCACTCAACCTATTGGAACTGTTTCTCACGAGACATTGACTTTGATGAAGCCTCCTTACCGGCCAGCAGTTGGCTACCTTTCCAGACGGATGATTTCAAATATACCGAGAATCGGTTGAAAAAACATTTTGAAAAGCTATCGATGGCAACTGCTGAAGAGCGCCGAGCACGAACTATAACAAAACAGAATCAGTTAGATGAAGATGACTTCATGTTCTGCTCGCAGCAACAGAATGAGGTACCAATCAATTTGACCTTACGGCCAGCTATAACGACGGAAAATATACTAACGTGTGTGCCAAAAATGAGTTAGATTGTCTATCCAGTCATTTTGATGTATTCATCAAGAGACTTATCTTCGCAACCGAATGTAACAGATGCCCCTACTCGCTTACTGTATTCAAGAGTGAAATCACAACACGAGATAAACAGTACATGGTACAACAATACGAAACAGACTGGTCGTTTCATATTCACAATTCTATAGTACACACCCGGCGTTTTGTGAGTCGACTTGTACAAATCAACCCAACCTCGGTTTAATGTGCCACATATCCTTTGTGTTTTTGGTCACTCATTTTCGTTCTCGGTGCACATTCCAATATGTAATTTCCCGTTGGATTTGTTGAACAAATCTTTCAACCCGGTGTGTAACCGTACACAAGATGGTCCGCAGAGACCATTCAACTAGGTATCCTTGATTTCTGCCGTGTGAGACGAACTGTCACATGTGTCTGTGTGCATATTCCCAACAGCCTATTTCTTTACTTGATCAACATGGAACTTGCAGAGAGACTCCCGGACATGTTTCCAGCATTTTCAGCAGCAGAGTCTGTCACAATAGCACTACGGCTTTATACGTGGTCCCATCCGTGTATAATTAATATATGTACATCATATCCACAGCCCTTTCAAATGCACTCATCAGTGTTTTGTCCACTGACGTCAGTATAGTGATGTTTCACTCCCTGTTTCCTTTTTCACCGCTGTCAAGTTGTGCCTCTACTCACTGAGTGTATTTTGTGCATGCATATAATTTTATCTATGTGTTCACTTGCCCACTTTTCTAGGTTCCGAGGGAAAAATTTAGTCAAGATTATTCTCTGACGTCGGAAACGTGGTATCTGATAACTTGCCGCAAAAGTTCAAGCATTAAAACGGAGTTCGGAATGCCGGATAAATGGAAAAATCTTGTCTCATTTTACGAAAGAGCAGGCATATTACTACAAACTGGCCATAATTAGAGTTTCAGGAAGTTCTGATTCCCCCCTGAGTAAGAAATCTGGGGATCGCGAGTGAGTCCATGTATCGAAGTAGACTATCACTCCATGGATCAAGTGATATCTGAGTGAGGGTTATTCAGCAATCTACTGGGTGTTGTAAGGAGACAACTTTAACAGTAATGACTAGTTGCGTGTTATTCTCCCGTAGTTAATAACTACTACGCCAACATGTTAATGTTAGTGAACTATTTTTCGTACTAAAGGCATACACAATTCGTAAAAGATCGCTTTGCACTTGTACGCCGATAACTATTGCATTGACACATCGAGGAGTCCGAGGAATTTCAGTGGACATTATTCAGACTATGCCAGCGGAATCTCACCACGACGAATATTCACCATTTGAAACTGCTTCATAACACACCGGAAAAATCACTGCTCTCAAGATAAACAGTAATTCAGGTGTGACTTACGTAGGTCCTACGGTTCAGCGCTTGTAAAAAGGGAATGGAGAACAACGCAAGAAGTGGCTTGTTCTCGGAGATAGACTAAAAGATCATGGTTACAATTTGGTTTATCTAGTTGATACATGCAAGTCGTTCATTGAAGCATGGGATTTTGGATCGCGCTCCAAGTACCAAGAACTCGATCCAACGCAGTCATATTATTTAATCTTTTGACTGCCTCTACCGTTGTCGCCTGGTTTATCACACCGAGACATAAGACGAAAACAAAACACACACGAAAACACGAAAACCAGACCCTCCAACTGAAATGGCCTAGTTTTCACCTCTGGCCTGACAGGAGAGCTCACAGTAGACCATATTTTCCATGTGACCCAGAGTAAATCTACTGCAGTCACCCACAACACGAATGACTGAGAACAGTTTGAGAACAAGTTTTCCAGTCTGACCCTGTGTTATACTCCGATACAGTAGAATTTCAGTGGTGCACCTAAAACGAGTCTCAGTACAGAAAAGATCTTAAGTTCAAGTAAATCATGATGTCGTGATTGGCCGTTTGTTTGCACCCGGGGCCAATAACCCGCCATCTGTTCACCTTCCCTTGCCTACAGCATGCATTTGTATCGGTGAATCCTTTCATGAAATAATTCTGTTTAGGCCACTTTTAACGGTTACTTATTTTTCGTCTTTACCCATTGAGTAATTGTGCTTGCAGCTCCCCCAATACTGACATGACAGGGCGCTATGATGAGTTGTTTATTTGGTCTCAGCAGACATGCAACTATTGGTCGTTGTTGGCATGTCATTTGTGTTAACATAGCCTCAAACAACATTGGGCACTGATTTCACACTCCATTTAAATAAACCCGCGTGAATTTAGGGAACAGTATATGTGATTGCTCTCAATTAAAATGAGTACACGTGAAGGATAGTCTCTGGTATCATAGATGGTCGTTGGTTGGTTCGCAGAGTTGGGCAAACCTTTCATCACCAATTGGTAGGACATCGTCAATGTGTTGTTGGAGTGCGTAGTGGGGCGTAGCAATAGGTCGATCGATCGTGCGTTGAGTAGTGTTGCGTGTGTCAATATACATGCTGCTGGCAGGGGCTGACATTCGCCCAAGATTGGTTCTTCAGTCAGGTGGCTTCCTTGGTTAGTCCGTTACCTGTGTTCTGAAAGGTCGATGAACATGTGACCTCTGAACATGTCCTTCCCTGCTCTCGCACTCTAGTCAGTGCTGGAGTGACCCCTGTTCTTGACCTTCCTGGGTTCCTGTTTGTGACTTTTGTTGATCTAACCCCAAACACCTTCACGTTTCTCAGTTTGAGTATCCCGGTTGGTATATTGGTCTTCTGCACGTAGTGCTGCGTAAATTGGATCTAGTTCAGTGTGTCGGTTGATCGAATCCGTTGTGGAGTGCCATGTCTTCAGAAACTCATTTCCATATTTCGTATCTACGTGTGACAAGAGTTTTACGATTTTCAGATTAAGTTTATGGCCTTATTTGTCTTCATGTGTGTATATCAAGGATCGGGATAATGTCTCCTGATGGCTGAGTGCGTTCTTTTACTTATGCGCATAATTTCCTCCCAGTGTATCCAACGTAGAACTTGTTGCATTTGTTGTGATTAATTCGATATAGCATGCTACTTCTCCTGGTTTTGTCTTGGTTGGCGGTAAATTGGCTGCCGGTTCATGGGTCACGCGGGTTACTTTTGAAATAATAATCTGGTTATAAGATCAGATATATTCTTGATGTAAGGTGGAACTACCTGTATGATCGCCTGTTCCTGCTTTTGCTGCCGCTGAGATATCTTCTGAATGATTCTATCAATAAAACTCCTTGGATATCCATTGTTCCGGAATGCTCAAGCTGGATGGGTTGCTTCATTCTTTCTTAGTTCGGTGGTGCTGCAATGCTTCTCCACTCTCTTGAACAGGGTTTGAGTGCAGCTTTTCTTGTGGTTGGCTGATGGTTATCGTATTTCAGCAGTTGATCCGTATCTGTCTCTTTACGAAATACACAGGTTTCAAAAGTTCCATCCACCTTTCTGTTCACTAAGAGCCCCAGAATGGTGGTCGGGTGTTCCTCTCCAATTCAATTGTAAATTTGATGTCTTCGAGCGTTGCATTGAGCAGTTCACGTGCATTGTGTACTGAATCTCGTTTCGTTGTTAAAAATGAGCTGTCTACTTAGCGTATCCACAGCTTCGTGACAAATTTTCAACTCAATCATTTGCGTAGATGAAAAACGGCTGTCGTTCCATTGTTAAATAGACGCGGGGCTTGTGAAGCTCGTTTCATTGAATGCAAGAATCGGAAATAAGTTTTGAGAGGATGGGATGGGAGGAGATCAGGAGAGTGGAATAAAAGAGAATCCGAAGCCAGATTCTCTGGATACCCAGGTAAATAGGCACTTGGAAGAACAGGTCCGAGGGCAACATCATGTTTGTGTGACTGAGAACTAAGATGAACACACCCAGGTAAAATTCCGGAAGAGTGGTTGGAAGTTTCGAAGCATATATTATCCAGCGGTGCGGTTAGTGCAAACACAAGTAGGAAATACGTGGATTGCAACTAGTGTAAACTGATCTACTGCCATATTTATTTCTTCCGAATTGGACCTTCTTTCAATAACTTTACCACTGGGTTGAGGACCGCAGAATCTTGGACGCTTCGAGTTTATTTTTCCACAAAAAAGAACCACTTTTGTCATTAATAGGAAATGTGTATACTATCTGTTCAGTTGTCCGTTCGACTGTAATGAAGTACAGTGTTCAAAAACTAAGTTCAGTTCTGCCGGTGACGCGCAGTCCAGGATCTTGACAGCGCCTACCGACGTTGACAACTAGGCTGTACAAGAGATTTAGAGCATGACTGTTATGTTGTATGGAAAATGAGATACGCAACTGAGTGTGAGTTCTACGTTTGTTAGCACTAAGAATATATTGATGAGGCGTCAGTTACCCGATACAAATGCACTCATGTGGTTGAAAATCTAACTGAGTAGCCCAGCTTTCAGATGATCGCCTCATTAGAAACGAAAGGTCCGGTTGAACGTGAATTAAAGACTGTTCAGGTTCTTCAAAGAGATGCTTTGAGGCCTCATCAAGGTCGGAGTTGCAGTGACATCCGAAATTATTTATTTGTGTAACGAAATATTAGTTTTCAATCAAGATTTTGTCCTGTCAGGGGAACAAGTCTATGCTGAAAAGCTTAGGAGTTTTGTTCGGCTATTTAACCTCTATTTTGGAAACATCACCAATGCATACTTCATGGTACTCTATGGAGTTTCGAAAATCAAACCTTTCAGTGCGCATCAGCAGAGATGATTCCAAATAAGAATAGAACAACTGTACAGTGCGTCTCAGCCTTTTAGAATAGATAGAATTTACTTTCAGGACTCAATCTTGACCAAAAATAACTCAATATGCTCACGCTATTAGTGGACCAGAGGAAGAATATTTTCACAAGATGAATGAAACTTCCACCTAAGGAGTCGCCGCTTGCGGAGGCTTTCCATACGTAGAAGGGTTATCAAGTGGGTTCTGTTTTGAACGTAAAAGCACTAAACTTATTGTCGTATTGAAAACTTGACAAATCACGAAGAGGCGGCAACTTAGGCTAGTTGCACCTATTTTCCCCTATGGACTGTCCAGTTTGCCGGTACGCATTTCTACGAGATGAAAGATAATCCACTTCTCATTGGTTGAGTTTTGACCACAGAGGTGTTAAATGACCAAACAGTTTACCAAATAGCTAGTATTGACCTCAACGATAGTTGTTTGCAAATTGAAGCGCTCAATTAATGCCACTTATATGGGTCCCAAGGCGCGGCACTTGTACACAAGGATTACAGAATACTGCCAAAAAGTGTCTGCCTAGGGAGGCGCAGGTGAATTCTACATTTCTATCCCAGTCCATCTGGTCAATACGTGACACATCTTTGATCGCGATACAGAATTTCGAATCGTATATCAGGTGCAACGAAACCAGATGACTTAATCTTCCGACTACCGAGGCCATTGGAGTCCTACTCTTCGCATCCAAACTTTACGTACAGAACCATGTGCTTCAGTGTGAGCTGACTCACTGCTCGCCCCTCATCTGAAGATAGTACACACCGGGTCATAGATAAATTGTCCGCTAATTTCCGGAGTACAGAAAAGCACAAAATACAACGAGGTTACGGCTTCTGAATTTCAAAATATTCGTCAATGGGATGAGGCTTGTGTCAGCTAGAATCTTTCCAATAATGCTATTTTTATTACTGAATAGGAGTTCGATTTGGCTGAATCAGATATATGAGACTAGTGCCAAAACATCTGTTCAGGAAAACAGTG